GAGCCTAATAAACGCCATTCTGACAATAGATGCCACCTCCCCATGGCCTATTTTGTTTTGTTGTGCTCTGTCACTTATGTTTTGCTAGGAATGCTGTAACTGCAACACTAAGTGCTCAGAGTTACTGACCTGATGTTATGGCCACCCTGAGAACATCCTTGTAAACAACCAACAATCCGTGGCTACATTCTGTTCATGTTACATAGACCTCAGATAAGAATTGCCCAAATTGCTTTAGATATCACTCATGCATACTTGGTCTTTGTCTGAATAACTCTGAAGTTCTATCAAAATGTTTGAAATAAACATTGTCTACCTCAACCATTGCTGAGAGTACATTGAGTCCTAGTGCAGTGGTTCCCAATCTTCCTAATCCCGCAACCCCTTAATACAGTTCCTCTGTTGTGGTGACCCCCAACCATAACATTATTTTTGTTGCTACTTCATAACTGTTATTTTGCTACTGTGATGAATCGTCATGTAAGTATCTGAGATGCAGGATGTATTTTCATTCACTGGACCAAATTTGACACAAATATCCGATATGCTCAAATGTGAATACTAGTGGGGTTGGGGGTGGGTTGATTTTTATTTATTTATTTATTTATTTCAAATATTTGTACCCCACCCTTCTTTACCCCCGAAGATAGTTTGGGAGTTGTAGTTGCTGGGATTTATAGTTCACCTACAATCAAATGACATTCCAAACTCCACCACCAATGGAATTGATCAAAACTTGGCACCCAGAACTCCAATGAACAACAGAAAATACTTGAAGGGTTTAATGGGCATTGACCTGGAGTTTTGGACTTGTAGTTCACCTACTGCTAGAGAGCATTATGGATTCAAACAATGTTGGTTCTGAACCAAACTTGACACAAATACTCAATATGCCCAAATATGAACACTGGTGAAGTTTGGGGAAAATAGACCTTGACACTTGGGAGTTGTCATTGTTGGGATTTATAGTTCACCTACAATAAAAGAGCATTCTGGAATTGGGCCAAACTACCCACACAGAACCCCCATGACCAACAGAAAATACTGTGTTTTCTGATGGTCTTTGGTGACCCCTCTGACACCCCCTCGTGACCCCCCCCAGGGGTCCTGACCCCCAGGTTGAGAAACACTGTCCTAGTGGATCCTTTGGGCCTTGAACTGGTCATTATATTCCAGGTGAGGCCTGACCAAAATGGAATATAGTATTACTATTACTTCTCTCAATTTAAACAATACATTCCTTTTTATTCAGCCTAGAATTGCATTCAGCTTTTTGGGTTCCACATCACATTGTTGGCACATATTTAGCTTGTGATATAGTAAGACCCCTATATTCTTTTATTGTGTTGCTATCAAGCCAGTTAGGATGATAGAGACAGAAGGGGCTTCATGCTCATAATTGCAGCTTCTTACTCAATGAAAGATCACTCACAGCAGGCTGCTGTCCATCCTCTTTTTGAAGACATCCAGAGAAGGAGGCCCAATCATCTCTCCAGACAATTGGTTCCATTACTGAATCACTCCTATTGTCAAAAAAATTATTCTAATGTTCAATCAATACATTTGGGCTAGGTCACAAAAAACAAACACACGGGTAGAGGGTACGCAAAACATAGCCCAGCTGTACTACACTCAAAAGGGACTTTGAGAATATTGCTGCTCACAAACCAATTGTCATCCATCATCTATTTGTACTTTTTTTTTTGCTGCCTCTTTCACATACATCATCTTTCTCCTTCTGTCTCATTTTGTCCCTCACATTATAAATATTCTCACTCTTGCCAGAAGTCAAAGTGGATCTCCTAAAGAAAACATTTTGAAATAGATCCAAAACTATGTTCCAGTTTGGAGTGCTATTGGATCCATCTTCCCAAATGTCAGCTGAGATAGATGGACAGTCAGGAGTGTTTATTATCAGCTTCAGCTGGCATGCCAGCTGCACCCCATCTTAGAATTGGAAGATCTAAAGAACATAGTACACATGCTGATATGAGAATTATCCGGAAAGTAAGGTTACAATTTTTTTAAATACAAAGAATAAATATATTTTAATAAAACATACTTGGATTGTAGCATAGATATTACATTATTTTCCCACATAATCACCATTCAGTTCAATAGATTTTGTCATCTGTGGGATTAGTTTTTGTTGCTGGTGTCATAGAAGTTTCTCTTCATCACTTTGATTTTCACCTTGTCATTGTCAGAAAAGTGTTGAAGGTGTCCCTTCAATTTAGTGAACAGATGATAATTACTGGGTGTGAGATCGAGGTTGTGAGAGGGTGGCTTAAAACATCTCAACCAAATGAAGACAACAACTCTTCTGTTACATGAGCAGTGTGCGGACACGCATTGTCATGAAGGAGACAGACTTGTAGTCTCAATGTTGCACTGTACTTTGGGCGACCTCTGTGTCAAGTTCAGAAACCCCAGTTAGTTCAAAATATGACAGCCAGATTGGTTACAGACATAGCCAGAGAAGAACACATGCAGAGGCGGCTCAAGCCAGTGCGCTAATTACGCTTTTGCATAGAGCGCGTCTCGGGGGGGGGCACTCTTGAGGAGCTCTTGAGGTGCCCCTGCCTTGAACAACACCCAGAGGCAGCTTGCTCTTCCTCCCTCCTTCCCTCACAAGTGTGCATGTGCACGCGTGTTGTCTTCCTCTCCTCCTCCTCCTCCTCACAGGCCAAGGGAGACAACAACACCAGTGTGCATCCCTCTCCCTCCGTTAGAAAGTGCGCAGGGAAGGAGGGGCGTTGCAGGGTGTGCACTTCGTAATGCCAGGAGAGGGACGCACAGCATTGCCGGGCATGCAGGAAAAGAGGCATGCATGTGTTGCAGGTAAATGGTATTTGTAGCACAAGTTCCAATGAATCATCTGAGCAACGGTGTTATGCCTCTGCTTGTAGTCTGTCTGTGCGATGTTCTTGCAGCAGCTCAGGATGTGATCTATTGTTTCATCTGCTTGTTTGCAGTCTACACTTGGGATTATTATTATTGTTGTTATTTGAAACACAACAAGATTAGTACACAGCAAACAAGATCGCTGTACTGGCTGTTGTATTGGATCACATGTCAGACACTTCCCAATTGTCTAGGACTGTGTGATGTATTGGTGAATAATGTGTGCAGATCCAAGGCCTTTTGCAGCTGACAGAGGGTAATTTTGTCAGCAGCGGATTGTTTTTCAGTGCAGGCCAAGATCTTTAGGCACTACACCCAGTGTGCTGATCACCACTGGGACCACCTTTACTGGCTTGTTCCAGAATCTTTGCAGTTCTATCTTTAAATCTTTATATTGTGTAAGCTTTATTTTTTAATAATAATAATAATAAATTATTATTATCACATGCTTTTCTCTCTTAATCCAGACGCAACCCATGATAACACTGGGACCACCTTTACTGGCTTGTGCCAGAGTCTTGTTATTATTTTGGAATACCTATATATGCACATATTATGTACACAATGAGATATCTTGGATATGGGACCCAATTCTATACACGAAAATAATTTATGTTTCATATATGCCTTCTGCAAATAGTACAATGGTAATTTTAGACACATGGAACAAAGTTTGTGTATGATGAACCTCCAGGAGCCAAAGATGTCACTATCTTAGCTACTTTTGTGGACAATTTGGGGTTTTGAGGTATAGTAGAACCTCGGTATCCACTGGGATTTGGTTCCAGGTCCCAACCACAATGGATATGATACCAAAATATGTTTCTCAAGCCCTATCATGTACAGTGGCATAGTAAAATGTGCCCTTTATTTAAAATGACAAAATCATGAAGGGTGTGTGTGTGTGTAAAATATTTTCAATAGCTGAATCTGTGGATCCAGAGAAGGTGACTCCACTTGCACCATGATTCACAAACTCCAGGGCTTGTGGATGCCAACTCCCAGATGGGTCAACCACTTTGGACAATAGGAGCTGAAGTCCAAAAATACCTGGAAAACCAGAATGGAGCCTTTGCTGCTCTAGCATCTCACCAAACTCCTAGGGTGCACCTGCACTGTAGAATTAATGCAGTTTGACCCCACTTTAACTGCCACGACTCAATGCTATGGAATCATGGGACCTGTAGTTGGTTTGGTGAGGAACCAGTATGCTTTGGCAGAGAAGGATAAAAACCATGTAAAACTAGAATTCCTGTGATCCTGTGACATTAAGTCAAGGTGGTTAAAATTGGAGCTAGACTGCATTAATTCTACAATGTTGATGCACTCAGAACCCCAGGTTTCCACAGTGTTATTACAATTGTGAATGATGTTGACAAGCCAAAGTAGCTGCATGGAAACCTATATTTGGGCATCGCTGGAATTATGAGAGACAGGATGGGGTGACTGGGATTTGGGAGAAGCTATGTAGTTTTTAATGTATTTAAACTATGAAATATCAAAAGTATGAAAGGACACAAAGGATTGAACTGTTTTATTCTAATTTTTTATGCAGACAGTCTCCAAATTATCAACAAAATAGGTTCTGCAGGTTTGTTCTTATGTTGAATTTGTATATAACTTGGAACAGGCGCATTTTTAGTATAACTCCAAACAAATATAAGCTTTGGATAGCTTAGGGAAGGGTCAACATCCCTGTGGTGTTTGTCTTGCTGTCTGTGCCCCTGTTCATAAGATTTCACTTCACTTTCTGTCACTGTGAGAATTGGATTTTGGAAAATGTGGCTTATTGTGAAAACAGGAATTGGTGATAAAGCTTCAGTGGAGACCCCTTTCCTCCATAATAACACTTTGAGGAGTGAATTTCCATTCTGAGGTGTAGATTTCTCTCACTGCTTATTGTCTCACCCCTGTTCTTCACTAGTTGTTTGTAAGTTGGCCTGTGCTCATATTTTACTTGTTTCGATTTGTGTCGTATTTGTATTGAGTTGATTCAGGTCCCCCTATGAGGGGAATGATTATAGCAAAACAAATAAGTAAACAAGGGGAGCTAGTTCTTATTATCTCCTTTCTCTCTCTCTTTCTGTCTTCTTCAGGTGGTGGTGGAGGGGCTCCCGGTGAACCATGGCCAGCAGCAGCCCTTTACCTGTCGTCCCTCCGGATCTGCTCCTGCCGAATCCCTCTGGCACCTTCCCGGGGCCCCCTTTGAACCAGGGCCCCCCTCCTCCTCCCCGCGGTGCCAGCACCCCCTCAGGCCCCTCGCTGTCCACCATGAAGCCCAACCAGGTGGGACAGGTGGTCCTCTACGGCATCCCCATCGTGTCACTGGTGATCGACGGGCAGGAGCGCCTCTGCTTGGCCCAGATCTCCAACACACTGCTCAAGACTTTCAGCTACAACGAGATCCACAACCGTCGGGTGGCCCTTGGCATCACTTGTGTGCAGTGCACCCCGGTGCAGCTGGAGATCCTCCGCCGGGCAGGCGCCATGCCCATCTCGTCCAGGCGCTGTGGGATGATCACCAAGCGGGAGGCCGAGCGCCTCTGCAAGTCCTTCCTGGGTGAGAACCGTCCGCCGAAGCTGCCGGACAACTTTGCCTTCGACGTAGGGCACGAGTGTGCCTGGGGCTGCCGGGGCAGCTTCATCCCAGCCCGGTACAATAGCTCACGGGCCAAGTGCATCAAGTGTGGCTACTGCAGCTTGTACTTCTCACCCAACAAGTTCATCTTTCACTCGCACCGTGTCCCGGAGGCAAAGTACACGCAACCTGACGCCGCCAACTTCAACTCCTGGCGGAGGCACCTTAAACTCAGCGACAAGACCCCCCCTGACGAGCTGGTCTTTGCCTGGGAGGATGTCAAGGCCATGTTCAACGGCGGGAGTCGGAAGAGGGCACTCCCGCAGGCTTCCAGCAGTCATCACCATCACTCCTTGTCTGTTGGGGGTGCGGCAGGGACCACCTCGCATTGCCCACCACTAGGTGGTACCGTCAAGGCCTCTCCAGGTGTGGTGGGTGCAGGAGGGGGTCTGCTCAGCCCACATCTCTTGCCACCCCCACCTCCACCTCCGCCCGAGCTCCACCACCCACACCACTTGCCTTCCAAGCGCGGGCGCTTCCTCGACGGCACTGAAGCCGAGCTGCAGGAGGCAGTGGCTGCTTTGGTGCAAGGAGGAGGTGGAAACAAAGCTCCTCGCAGCTACCCAGTGATCCCAGTGCCCAGCAAGGGGCCCTCGTCCTTCGGGAGCGTCTTGCAGAAGTTCCCATCATGTGGGGGACTCTTCCCACACCCTTACGGCTTCCCTGCTGCTGCCTTTGGGCTGTGCCACAAGAAGGAAGAGGCAGAGGGGATGGGACAAAGCGGGACCAAAGCCAACTCTGCAACAGTGGCCTCTGCCTCTGCTGCCCCGACGGCGGGTCTCTCGGGCCTTTTCTGGCCTGGTGCGAGAAAGGACGCTGCCACTGCTGCCGCCGCTGCTGCCGCTGCTGCTTTTTACCCTCCTTTCTGCATGTTCTGGCCACCCAGGGCCCCTGGAGGGCTCCCCGGTCTTCCGACGTACCTCCAACCGCCTCCTCCACCGCCTCCTCAGCCTCCCAACTGTACCGTTGAAGGTCCCGGATTGCTCCGGCAAGCCTTCCTTGACTTAGGAGACCCCAGCGGGGAAGCGGGGACCCCTGGGGCCCCAAGCGGAGACAGGGAGGCCCGGGGCTTCGAGGGCGAAGAGGCAGTGCCCTCTCCTCCCGCAGAAGGGGGTCCTGCAGCCCCTCCGCCTGCTTTGCTGGAAGAAGCACCCCCGAGGGGCAAGGGCGGTCCCTCTTCCTCCTCCTCTTCCTCCTCATACCACCATTCCAGTGCTTTCCGCCCCGTCGGGGGCAAAGAGGACTCGGAGAGCTTGGCCAAACTCCACCATCACCACCACGCGCATCATCCCCACTCACAGTCCTCCTCTTCCTCACCACCTTTGCTGCTCTTGAGCTCAGAGAGGGAGCCGTCGGGTGCCCACCGCCTCCTCTTGTCCCCCGAAGGCACCAGTTGCAGCTTCAACAGCGAAGAGGAGGAGGAAGAGAGCAGTGCGGAGGAAGGGCAGCCAGAGGAAGGGGAAGAGGAGCCTGAGGTGGACGTGGAGGAGCACAAGGCACCAGAGGAGGAAGAAGAAGAGGAAGAGGAGGAAGAGGAGATGCGGGAGGAAGCGGAACCAGACGTGGTGGTGGAACATTACCTGCCCAGCCAAGGACTGACGGACACAGGGGAGGACAACAAGGGGCCTGGTCCCGAGAAGCAACAGCTTTCCCCTTCACAGCCCCCTCCTCTTCCTCCCACCGCCTCCCCCAAAAGGGCCAACAGCCCCAGGGACATCCTCCAAGGCACCCAGGAGGCCACACAGCGGCCCATGGCCCCTTACAAAGATGTAAACACCAATAACACCCTCTTCTCTCCCCTTCTAAGCTTCTTGGAGCCCTGCCTTGTTTGGGTTGGAATTCTCCCTTGGCCCAAGCAGGGGAGGGTCCTCCTTTTCTGTCTCCTCTTCCCCCCACTTTGTTGGACAAGCCTACCTTCTATGTGTCTGAAATCCCTCTTTCTCTCCCTCTAGGCTTCTTGGAATCCATAATGGTTTATACATAGTTTTAGTATTATGATTCAGAAGGAAAGGAGAGGTAATAGAAAAACGCCAAAGTACCAAAAAAGATGTTTATAATACATAACATTACAACTAAGAATAATATTGTCAAAAGCTTTCATGGCTGGAATCACTGGGTTGCCGTTAGGTTTCCAGGCTGTATGGCCATGTTCCAGAAGCATTCTCTCCTGACGTTTTGCCTGCATCTGTAGCTGGCATCTTCAGAGGTTCTGTTGGCAGTGAAGCAAGTGGAGTATATATAGATACCTGTGGAATAACATCCAGGGTGGGAAAAAGAACCTTTGTCTGTTTCAGGAAAGTGTGGATATTGCAATAGGGAAACATGAATTAGCATTTAAGCAGCCACGAGGAGTCCCTTGTAGCACAGTGGGTTAAACTACTGAGCTGCTGAATTTGTTGATTGAAAGGTAAGAGGATCGAATCCAGGAAACAGGGTGAGCTCCCACTGTTAACCCTAGCTTCTACCAACCTAGCAGTTCAAAAGCATGCAAGTGTGAGTAGATCAATAGATACTGCTCCGGCAGGAAGGTAGCAGCATTCCATGCAGTCATGCTGGCCACATAACCTTGGAGGTGTCTATTGATCGAATCCGGGAAACAGGGTGAGCTCCCACTGTTAACCCTAGATTCTGCCAATCTGGCAGTTCAAAAACATGCAAATGTGAGTAGATCAATAGATACTGCTCCGGCAGGAAGGTAACAGCACTCCATGCAGTCATGCTGGCCACATAACCTTGGAGTTGTCTATGGACGGCTGCTCTTCTGTTTACAAAAGGAGGTGAGCACCAACCCCCAGAGTCAGACATGACTAGACTTAATGTCAGGAGAAAACCTTTCCCTTTACCTAGCCATGAAGCTGGGAAGTCCGTCTGTGATGGTATCTGCAACTAAGGCCACCTGTATACAGATACCCTCACTGATTGACTTTGCAAACTTCATGGCTACTCAAAGGCTAATTCAAGGGTGGGAAAAAGAACTCTAGTCTGCTTGCAAGACCATTAAGTGCTAATCAAGGTGGCCAATGGCAACATTTACACTTGCAGTCAACAGACAAGAGTTCTTTCTCCCATTCTTGACATTCCACAGAGATATAAACCCCACTTGCCTAGTTTCCAACAGACCTCACAACCTCTGAGGATGCCTGCCATAGATGTGGGTGAAACGTCAGGAGAGAATGCTTCTGGAACATGGCCATACAGCCTGGAAAACTCACAGCAACCCCATAATAATATTAATAATAACAATAATTTTATTTCTTACCCACCTTTCCTCATGGCTCGAGGTGGGTTGCAGAACAACTAAAACACATCCGCACTGCAAAAACACCACAAATACACACATTAAAACATACCCCTATAAAAGTTACACCTCTATAAAATACATATTAAAATACACCAAACAGAGATTAAACAAAAGACGCCTCACAAAACTAAATCTTAAACCATCTCACAAAACTAAGTCTTAAACCAGCACATGAACTGATGACATCCCTGCTATAAGAAAGGTCAACTAGACACACAGATACCAAAACTACTACATCTAACAAAACTAAATCTCAAAGTAATACACTGATCTAAGACATACCCACATTGATAAACACACACTAGACATACTGCAGTAACTACACGATGTAACACAATGTTTGTTCCTGGGTCATAACTGGTTCTATCATTAAAACATGGAAAAAGTTTATTGTTTCTGCAGGAGGGACATCCTGCAACACATTTGGCTATCATTTTACTATGAATATTTTACTATGAACTCACAAATCTTATTTCTAAGGGTCGTTGTGTTAAATGTGTCTAGAGCTGGCATGGGCAAACATCAGCCCTCCAGGTGTTTTGGACTTCAACTTCCTAAAAGTCTGTAGGCTGTTAGGAATTGTGGAAGTTGAAGTCCAAAACACCTGAAGGGCTGAAGTTTGCCCATGCCTGCTCTAGATGCATTTAACACTGTGACCCTCAGAAATAAGATTTGTGAGTTCATATGAGCTTATTCCAAGTTATCTTTGTATAGAAGAAATTGGAGAAAAGTCAATCCTTCAGGTGTTGTCGGACTGCAAGTCCCACTAACCTTAACCTGAATGGTCAGCGTCATGGAATCATAGAATCATAGAATCAAAGAGTTGGAAGAGACCTCATGGGCCATCCAGTCCAACCCCCTGCCAAGAAGCAGGAATATTGCATTCAAATCACCCCTGACAGATGGCCATCCAGCCTCTGCTTAAAAGCTTCCAAAGAAGGAGCCTCCACCACACTCCGGGGCAGAGAGTTCCACTGCTGAACGGCTCTCACAGTCAGGAAGTTCTTCCTTATGTTCAGATGGAATCTCCTTTCTTGTAGTTTGAAGCCATTGAATACTGAAAAGCTCAGTCCCACGGCATCTGGAGGACCACAGTTTATTTACTCTTTGTTAATATGACAGTAACAGCCTGAGGCTGTTAGGAATTGTGGGAGTTGAAGTCCAAAGCACTTGAAGGGCAGAAGTTTGCCTAGGCCTGTCATAGAGTCTCAACCAATTTAACATAGTCTGTGGCTACCACAAAAACAAAGTTTCTGGAGTATGACAACTACTTTCAAAATAAGTACCACACAGTTAAAACAGGAAATGACACTTTCAAACCAAGAACAGATTTTTTCCCCCAAATTTTGTTACTTAGTGTAATTATTAGGCATAGTTAGGTACCATCAGAATCTTCGTAATTCGGGATCAAGTCGGAAAAATTACCTTTTTGAAGTGATTTGGAAGTTTTTAAGAAAACCAGAAGTTCTTTTGCCCGTCCGAAGCTTTTCTCGCCATTTGTATTCCGACTCAGGAAGTGAGTCAGAAATGACTCAATGTTTGGAGGCAAGCAGCTTGCATGCTGGGATGCTTGCCTCCCAGCCAATGAGGGGAGAAGTTTTGGGGAGGGAAGGGGAGGGGTTTCCGGCCACGGCAGCGCTGTCGCGCTATTTGAAGTGCAGCACATGGCTCAGAGGCTCATTGTGAGCCCAAGAAGGGAAGAGGAAAGAGAAAGGGAAGGGAGGTTGTGAAGGGAGGTTGGAAGAAGAGCAGTTGGAAGAGCACGGCAAGTGGAGAAGGGCTGGGAACAGGGCTGTTGCCTGCCTGTCTGCCTGCCTCGCAGCTGCTTGTGTGTTGTTGCTGTTGGGGGGGGGGGGGGAGAGAAGAGCTAGGCAGCAGAGAACTAGGGCAGGGAGAAGGGCTTCAAACTACAAGAAAGGAGATTCTATCTGAACATGAGGAAGAACTTCCTGACTGTGAGAGCCGTTCAGCAGTGGAACTCTCTGCCCCGGAGTGTGGTGGAGGCTCCTTCTTTGGAAGCTTTTAAACAGAGGCTGGATGGCCATCTGTCAGGGGTGTTTGAATGCAATATTCCTGCTTCTTGGCAGGGGGTTGGACTGGATGGCCCATGAGGTCTCTTCCAACTCTTTGATTCTATTATTCTGGCTGTTGCGCAATTGCATCCGCCATTAACGAAGTATTCAGAAAATTCGGAAAGTTCCAAAATTTTATTCAGAAACATTTCGAATTCTTTTCTGAATCGAACCACCAGTGCCCCCTACATCCATAATGAGTTTTGAACCATTTTTTAAATCAACCAAGCCTAGTAATTATTTATATTTTTAGATTAATTTTTTTAATTCAGAAGTAAAGGGGGGAGGGAGTAGAAACATAACAAAGACAGTGCTAAATAAGCATATTTTCATAATATATGACACTACAGCTACTGAATCTAACAAAACTCAATCTTAAATGCACACATTGATGACAAAACTATTGTAAAAAACATATACTAGACACATGGCTACTGAAACTACTACATCTAATAAAACTAAAGGCAACACACTGGTCGAAGACATACCTACACTGAGAAGCCCACGCTAGACATACTGTTCTACAAACCTCACCCTCATTGTGTCTCAGTTTTTACTAATTGTTATCCCATATTTAGATAGAATTACAACCACACTTTTACTTTTATTAAAATCTTCTAATTCTTTAATCCAATAGTTGAAAATTGCCCCCATGGTTGGTGTGAAAAAGTGATAAATAAGTCCCAATCTTTTTGAAGTTGGTCAAAGATTTCTCCTTTATGAGGATTATCAGTTTTTCCAATAATATTTTTCATTTCATTCCTGGAGCCACTGAATAACCCAGGCCCCTTCTACACCACCATTTAACCCAGTTCAAAGCAGACAATCTGGATTTTATATGGCAGTGTAGAAGGGACTCCAGTGTCCATTGCCCCCTTGCAAAGATGTAAATATACCCTCGATTCCCTCCTTCTGGGCTCTTTTGCTGAGCTAGAACACTAAAGCACTCAGGCAGGCAATCTCAAGTCTATTCCAAAACTTCACATTCCAGAATTCCATGGCAATTGGAAAGGTATCAAAGTGGTGCAAATGTGTAATGTGGATACACTGTCAGGCAACACATGATTCCATTAGTTTTGTGTTCTGCTTCCTGAGTGAGTCCTACAAAGCCTGAAAGTTAGCCTAGCCTTCCCGTGGTTCCTCTTTGATGCTGGATAATTAAAATCATTAGTACAATTAAATTGCCAGTTTCCCTTGTTGATAGACTGGGCAAACCCATCAGATATTTGTTGCACGTTCCTAGAGAGTCCCCATTTGTAGGTTTAATTCTCTAGGAATCTGGCCACTTTTCTAAATCATCTCAGCATTTGTCTCTCCTATCATGCCTTGTGGCAACTTCTCCTGGCTCTTTTCTTATTGCTATTACTATACATACAGTACAGTAATGGCAAACCCCTGTATCTGTAGGACCAGTATCCGTTGTTTTATTTAGCCACATCCAACTAAGTATGGCTTGTTTAGGCATTTTCTAGGTCCTTCAATATGACTCTTACCATGGTATTGCTTTCAGGCGAGTTCAGTCTAGTTTGTGATTTCACATATCCATGTGAAGTCCAGAAATATATTCCTCCATGGAAACGCCATACAGTATATGTACCTGCCTACAGGTCATCTGTTCACATATGGCAACCCCATGAATTTCATAGATTAGATAGAATACTTAGAGGTAGTTTTACCAGTTCCTTTCTCTGAAATATAACGGTTAACACCTGGGATTCTTTGGTGGTCTCCCATCCAAGGACTAGCCAGGGCCAGCTCTGCTTTGCTTCCAAGAGCAGATGGAATCTGGTGCTCTCAGGGTTTAGGGGGCTTAGAATTGTATTTTTCTCACAAGTTAAATAAAACGCTTTTCGTTGCATTTTTCCCACTTTTGTGAAGGTCCTGAATCCCCAACTCCAGTAAATGTGAAATATTGTCAGTATTAGTTGTAAAGGCACTATGCAGCATTCTGGTTTAAAGGGGAGACAGCACTTCTTTGGGTGAGAGCTGTTCAACAGTGGAACTTTTTGCCCCAGATTGTAGTAGAGGCTCCTTCTTTGGAAGCTTTTAAAAAGAGGCTGGATGGCCATCTGTCAGGGGTGATTTGAATGCAATATTCCTGCTTCTTGGCAGGGGGTTGGACTGGATGGCCCATGAGGTCTCTTCCAGCTCTATGATTCTGTGATTCTATAATAATGCACAATTTGATCAGAGCTACCCATAATCTCTTTTTATAGACTACTTGTTGACTTTAGCTTAATGGAACTGAATTGCCAGCTTCTTCTTCTCCCACAAGGGACCAAGTGGGCTTGAAGTCGAATCACATATATATTTACTCCAAAACAAGCTTTGATGTATGTTCATGGATTGTGTGCATTGTGTGCATTCCACATGGTAAATGTTATTGTCATATAAACAAAGAGTAAACAAACTGTGGGATATTGTGGGATGGAGCTTTCCAGTATTCCTTGATGCTAACAATTCAGATTAAGGCTGATGGAACTTGGAGTCCAGCAACGCCTTAAGGATTGACTTTTCTCTAATTTCTTCTATACAGAGATAACTTGGAATAAGCCCCTTTGAACTCACAAATCTTATTTCTGAGGGTCACAGTGTTAAATGTGTCTAGAGCAGGAGGTGCTTTGAATGTGGTTTCCCTGCTTCTTGGCAGGGGTTGGACTGGATGGCCCACAAGGTCTCTTCCAACTCTATGATTCTATGATTCTCTGGGCAAATCAGCCCTCCAGATGTTTTGGACTTCGGCTTCCACAATCCTACCAGCTGTTAGGAATTGTGGAAATTGAAGTATAAAACACCTGAAGGACTGAAGTTTGCTCATGCCTGGTCTAGAGGGATGGGTCTGGTGGAAAGTCCCCATTGATTCAGTAGATCCTCATTTGTATATGCAGATGTCAATCTGTGGTCCTCAACTATTTTCCCAGTGGTTGTCGCCGTCCGTCCCCCCTAGATTCCTGATACTAAATATCTGAACTCTTTTGAACCTTCTCAATCAAGATCAGTGTGAAAAGGATCTCATCCCTGGCATTTCTTTGTTTCTGTTTACTGGCTAACTTGCAACTATTGAACATGTTGTGAACAAGGTCCATGTATTAAGTTCCTGCAAGAAGAACCACAGGAAACATACATAAATGTGGCTTCTGTCTGCAGCTTAGCATTGTGGTTTCCAAGCTTTGGTCTTCCAGGTGTCTTGAACCTGAGCTTCCAGAAGCCACAGGCAGCTTGGCCAAGAATTGGGAATTCTGGGTCCAAAACATCTGGAGGACCAATGTTTAGAAACCACAGGTCCAGCCCAATGATATTAGTTTGGAGGTTTGATTTTCATGGGTCTGTTAAGCAGGGATAAGCCTGAGTCTAATCACTTGGCTTGACTTCTCTTGGTTGGTCCAAACTAGATCAGACCCTATTGAATCAACTGATGAATAAATAAATCCCATTGATTCAATCCATCTACTTCTATGAGGATCTGCAGTACGTTTGAGACTTTTGTCTCCACAGTATTGGAGACAAATATATTGTCGTCCAAGACATTTTGGAAGGCAACAAGGTGATAAAGTCTTGAGACAAATCTGGACAAATGCTTCCAAAAGGGGAAAAATAGACTAAACCAAGGCATCCTCCTGTGTTTTGTATACTCGAGCCCTACCACATAGTAGTAAGATGTATAATGTTCTTGGAGGTTTACAATGAGATGGCAAATAGTCCTTGATGTTGCGCAGCAGCGAATTTTACCCAATGCCCAAAGTTCTAATGCAATAGACTCACAGACAAGAGGAAAAATGAACAGAAAAATCTTTACTCTCTCCTCAGCAGAGATGAAACATAAACTTGCAGTGTTGCATACAAAAATCAAACAGTGCAAGACACTTACATAGTCCTTGTAACTAACACTAAATAAGGCATCTTCATCTTAAATCAAACGAGAGAGCAAAACATAAACCTTGAGTAAATAGCTATTCCTTCAGAGTAATCCAATGCTGCTCCCTAGAGCAAAGCCTTTGAGCATAGATCTCCTCAGAGAAAAAGCTCTCCAGAAGCTCACCCACATCCACACTGTATTCTAAAAAAAACATACAGATATACCCCATTGGGTGTGGTCCAAGCTTGCTGGTTGACCTACATTACCAGCTGTACATAATTACCATCATAAGGTTTTTCTTCAACACACACACACTTGGTCCTGCTATGACTTACCGCAACACTTGATTGGTTGGCCACAAGGTCTCCAAAGTCTGCAACCCTACAGAAGCCATTGAAAGATACTTCCTATCATCCCTGACCATTAGCCATGCTGATAGAGGGGCTGATGGGAGTTACAGACCAACCACATCAGGCCCGTAGCCAGGATTTTGATTTGGGGGGGGGGGCTGAGTCTGAGTGAAAGAGGGTCTACCCTAGCAAACCTTTTCTATCGTTACCCCAATACCCCCATGCATATGGGATATATTGAGCATGGTGATCAGATCATGATATGAATAAACATAACAGTTTAAATAATGTACCAGTAAGGCCTTCTGGCGGACCACCATGAGAATTGGGGGGGGGGGTGAAGCCCCCGTCCCCCCCCCCCCCCCGGCTACATGCCTGAACCACATCCAGATATCCAAGGTTCCCCATCCTTACAAGCTTACCATCTGAAGGAAAAACAAGTCTAAACAAAGAGGCATAATTTCCAATAGTAAAAGTGTGGTCTGCTCCTACACAAAGGGAACTTTCCCCCAAAGTAAACAAGGGTCAGAACTTAGACCAATGTCAGTTCAAGAAACATGCTCTCACTGATGTCAGTCTGTCAAGTTGCATGTTTTTCCATCCTCAGCTAAAATGTGTCTACTTAGAAGTCTGTCTCAATTAATTTAAGGGGACATCCAGCTAAGGAAACATGGCTTGGCCAACTGGCCATGGAGTATCCATTTTAGGGATGGGTGTTTTAAAGCCAAGCATCTTTTGATCCAGAAACCCCATAGGACGACCTCCCCTAATTAAAGTCCCAAGCATAGTCTTTATTCCTATTCTATTCCCACTTCTGTTCTATTTTTTCCTCTCCCGCCTGCCCTCTCTATCCTGTTAATTGCTCATCGACTGAAGTGGGTTTTTGCTGTTTTAATTCGTGTCTGTTCATTTGTTTTCATTCTGGCAGATTCAGAAGAGCAAGGAAGGGAGCCAAGTTGTATCCCTGAAGGAAAATAATTTCTCAGGCAAGACACAAAGAAATCTCTCTCTCTCTCCTCTCTCTCTCTCTTATTCTCTCTCCTGCACAACTAAGAACATTGTTGAAATTGACTAATGTTATCTCTGGGTGGAGACTGGGTTATGTCCTTGGATGTTGCTTTTGAAACTGCTATTGAATGTGACTTCCAAATCATCATTCCTCAAAAATTCAGCATACAGACACACACACACACACATACACACACACACACACACATATATACATACATACACACATATATATACACCTACATACACACAACATATTATAGTATATTAGATCAGGGTTACTATTAGACTATATAGTAGATTGATCTGACGTGTGGGTAACACACACATTTCAAAGCTGTTTTTCCAGCTACAAAATGTCTGCATGGCACTTCCATCTTGCTGCATACCTTCCAAATTTATGCCAACTTGAAAACAACTGGCTCATAGAATATGTTGGGGCTGGGAATGTGTGACTTGCCCAAGGTCATCTGAGCAAGGAGTTGAACCCTATTTGCCATAGTCCAATACTTAGCTAGTACACTACACCAAATGTGATACACACACACACATATATATATATACCGGAGACCCTGGTGGTGCAGTGGGTTAAAAACTGAGCTGCTGAACTTGTTGACCTAAAGGTCGCAAGTTCAAATCCGGGGAGTGGCGTGAGCTCCCACTGTTAGCCCCAGCTTCTGCCAACCTAGCAGTTCGAAAACATGCAAATGTGAATAGATCAATAGGTACTGCTTCAGCAGGAAGGTAACGGCGCTCCATGCAGTCATGCCAACCACATGACCTTGGTGGTGTCTACGGACAATGCCAGCTCTTTGGCTTAGAAATGGAGATGAGCACCATCCCCCAGAGTCGGGCACGACTGGACTTCATGTCAGGGGAAAACCTTTACTGTGTGTGTGCGTGATATATCCCTTAACGGTACATATCCATTTCTGTATTATGTTGTATATGCCATTGTATCTTCTTTCAATAATCCCATCCAGGGGCAGCTCAACCCATTACGCAAAGTAAACATTTACAGTATAGTTGATTTTGCTCAGGGGCGCTCTTGAGGCGCTCTTGGGGGAAAATAGATCTTGACATATGCAAGTTGTAGTTACTGGGATGTATAGTTCACCTACAATCAAAGAGCATTCTGAACTCCCACAATGGTGGAATTGAACCAAATATGGCATACTCCCAGAATATATATATATATCTCAGTGATTTGGGGGGGGGATACTGTTTGCTTACCATTGAAAATTACCTAGGGCCGCCTCTGATCCCATCTGATTATATAGAAAGATGCTTATACCTGTAATGCACACACATGCACACATTCACATGAATGAATGAAGTTGGTATCTCGTTGTTGTTTTATATGCTGGCAAGTTCCCTTCCACAAGCAGCTTGTGTAAGGTTTTGACTCTCTGTAATGTCTGCACAATGGGCCCTTGATATCCACTGGGTCTTGGGCCCAGCCACCCACACAACCTCCTTCCAGAATCCATGGATGCTCAAGCCCCGTTATATGTAATAGGGCAATAAAATGGTGTTATGTAATGTCAAAACCAAGGCTTGCTTTTGGGATTTTTAAATATATTTTATGGCAGTGGATGGCTGACTCTGTGGTTGGAAGATCTGTGCAAACTGATGGCTGGCTGTATTCAGACTACAGTTGGAGAAATACATTTCCACATGTATAGCTAATGCAGTTGCAGTCGAACATGCTTGGACGGTGCACAGCTCGTCATCAACATTTCCAGTGTTCCATTGATATTGTGCAAACAACAGGCACATTGGCAGATATACCATGTTATTGTTCTCCATATTACTATCCATCACTTATCTCCATGACTATAGATTTACACTGTGCCAACACGATGTAGGATCTGGCTCAATACAGAGCAGTCTTTCTCAACTTTTTTTTTTACCTTGGAGGAACACTTTTAATAATTTGAAGGTTTCTTGCATTAAAAATTACTAGATGTATAGCTCAAACATGATCCATTGAGGGCTGATCGCATAAGCGCATATCAATATGTATATTATAAACATTGTTTCTATATTGATGTATCGATGATATCTGATATATCAATAATAAACGAGACACTGATATTTAGCTGTAGATTTTCCAGAGAGATTACTACATTCACCTTTCACAACAAAACACCAGATTTATTGTAGCATGGATTTGAAAGCTGCAGTGTATTTGCATCTGTTGAAAGAGGCTGCGGTCCACAAATGCCATAATAGACGTCTTTGCCTTTAAGGTTCCACAAGTCTTAACTAATCGATGAAGTGGAGGAAAGCTTGTTAAAAATCTCTTCTTGCCGATTACTCTCAAAGCTGCTACTGGATTCCTTTATTCTCTGGTTTTGCTAAAAGACATTTAACACAGCTATCTCTTTGCAGACTAACATCATTTGTTAAAGCCACCGCTTGAATCAATTGAACTTAACTAAATGTTGAGGTGGCCAAGTTCCCATTGATTCAAAATCCCTTCTAGTTTGTTGTATCAATAATTGGGATTTAGCGCTCACACTCAAGCAATTAACATTTTCCTTGTCTATATATTGGAATCTTTGCATGCTTAATACTGTCTCCATACTTTAATTCAGCGTTTCTCAACCTGGGAGTTGGGACCCCTGGGGAGGCTACAAGGGGATGTCAGAGGGGTCACCAAAGACAGAAAACAGTATTTTATGTTGGTCATAAGCGTTCTGTGTGGGAAGTTTGGCCCAATTCTATCTCGGTGGGTTTCAGAATGATCTTTGATTGTAGGTAAACTATAAATCCCAGAGACCACAACTCCCAAATATCAAGGTCTATTTCCCTCAAGCTTCACCAGTGTTCACATTTGGACATATTGAGTATTCATGCCAAGTATGGTCCACATCCATCATTGTTTGAGTCCACAGTGCTCTCTGGATACAGGTGAAATACAACTCCAAAACTCAAGGTCAATGCCCACCAAACCCTTTCAGTGTTTTCTGTTGTTTGTGGGAGGTATGTGTGCCAAGTTTGGTTCAGCTCAGACATTGGTGGAATTCAGAATGCTATTTGATTGTAGCTGAACTGTAAATCCCAGCAACTAAAACTCCCAAATGTCAAGTCTATTTCCCCCAAACTCCACCAATGATCACATTTGGGCATATTGAGTATTTGTGCCAAGTATGGTCCACATCCATTATTGTTTGAGTCTGCAGTGCTCTCTGAATGTAGGTGAATTACAACTCCAAAACTCAAGGTCAATGCCCACCAAACACTTCCAGTATTGTCTGTTGCTCATGGGAGTTCTGTGTGCCAAGTTTGGTTCAATTCCATTGATGATGGAGTTCAGAATGCTCTTTGATTGTAGCTAAACTATAAATCCCAGAACTACAACTCCCAATGTCAAGTCTATTTCCCTCAAACTCCACCAGTGTTCACATTTGGGTATATTGAGTATTCATGCCAAGTTTGGTCCAAATCTATCATTGTTTGAGTCCACAGTGCTCTCTGGATGTAGATGAACTACAACTCCAAATCTCAAGGTCACCCACCAAACCCTTCCAGTATTTTCCGTTGGTCATGGGAGTTCTGTGTGCCAAGTTTGGTTCAATTCCATTGTTGATGGAGTTCAGAATGGAGCTCTTTGATTGTAGCTGAACTATAAATCTTAGCAACTACAACTCCCAAATGTCAAGTCTATTTCTCCCAAACTCCACCAGTGTTCACATTTGGGTATATTGAGTATTTGTGCCAGGTTTGGTCCAGATTCAACATTGTTTGAGTCCACAGTGCTCCCTGAATGTAGGTGAACTCCAACTCCAGAACTCAAGGTCTCTTTGATTGTAGTTTAACTCTAAATCCCAGCAACTACAACTCCCAGATGACAAAATTGATCCCCACCCCACGAGTATTCAAATTTGGGCATATTGGGTATTTGTGCCAAATTTGTTCCAGTGAATGAAAATCCATCCTGCATATCAGATATTTACATGACGATTCATAACAGTAGCAAAATTACAGTTATGAAGTAGCAACGAAAATAATTTTAAGGTTGGGGATCAACACAACATGCGGAACTGTATTAAGGGGTTGCGGCATTAGGAAGGTTGAGAGTCACTGTTTCGAGAAATTCATATATTCATATTTGTCCTTTTGTTTGCAGATAAAAACAAGGAGCACAGTTTTTTCATCACGGAAGCAGAACACCCGGCAGGAGACTTCTGGAGAAATATAGCTGGTAGGCTCCAAAATGGGGATCAGTAGATATTTCCGCAACCCAGTCCAATGTATGTTATTGTTTACACAGAAGGAAGCCCTCCTGGGTTGACCCAGTCTTGCTCTCAAATTGCACAGGACTGCAGCCTTGAGAACCTGGGTATTTTAGCAGAAGGGGATAGAAAATAAATTAAGAAACCAACAATATTATAAGTAAAGGAGAAATGCAAACAAGGAGGAGCGTAGCAACATTAATAACAAAGAGATTATTAATTGTTGGGCATATTTCAGCAGGAAATTTCGGGAACGTATCAGGTTACACAATGGCGCAGGCCGGGAAGGTGGGGAGGGTGAGGGAGAAAAGAAAAGAAAAACATAAAAATGACAATAATTGAAATGTTCTCTTTGAAACCTTCCATTAAAAAGGATCACAGCTTATTGCTTTTAATATCTGTCAGAGAGACATTAAAGGTGTTTTATGAGATCTATGGCAACGTTTATATTATCTCCGTGATAATGATCTCTACACAAAATGTATAATACATTGACAAAAATTACATTATACAAATTAAATGGAACCACCTTTTACTGATTGCTAAATGTCTCCAAGGGGTTTGGGGAGGAGGGAGAGGAGGAACGTGATTAGAAGTTTTGATACTGAAGTTGCCTATTGCCGGGCTGGCGGGTTATAAGGGAAGCGGGTTTTGTTTCTTGGGAGAGAGAGAGAGAAAAGGGAATCTAATTTTCCATTTATGTAATGCAAACTGTCTTGGCTTTGACTATTCACGGTTAATTGACTGTCAAACGAGGTTGTTATCCCGAGGCTATGTCTGCAAATTTGCCTGTCAAATGAGACAGAGAGAGCAAGGCTGAGAGAGGGAAGGAGGGGGACAGAAAGAGAAGGAAGGAAGGAAGCAAGCAGAGGAAAAGGCTACTGCAAGGAAAGGAGATCCTAAAGGAAACCTTCCTATAATAGCAGCAGCAAACAAACACCATTTAGAACCTCCAAAAATTAAAAATATACCAATTGACCCAGCATGCTGATGCCTTTGCTCTACAGCAAGTGCCAACTTCCTTCCAAAAAGAAAACAAAATTCCGCGTGAATAAAAATCCCATCTAGAAAGGAGAAGGGTGGAAGGGGAAGACAAAGCAATAGGCTCTTAAGTAAAGTGAATAGCTGATAAAAATTGATATGAGAGGGATAATGTGGCTTGCTTATTTCCAGCGGATGATGAAATAGCTCATTAGAGAGCCAGGGATCAACAAGAAAACATTCCAGAGTAAATTATGGGAAGGGTTTTGGATCTTTCTAGGCCCCTTGAGTTGTGCCAGATTCTACTAAACAAGATGGAAAAGGCCATTCTACTTCTGCACGTGCCTTCCTATTTTGTGCACTTTATATGCAATCCTAAAAGTGAAATTCATGGATACAGAAACTTACTTACTTAGGCAATCCCTCGTAGCTTGAGGATGATGATCCACCAAGTCTGGTGTCTTGGAGAGTGGATTTGTAGGTGGCTGTGGAGCTCTATTCTTGATCTGCATGTTCTTCCACAGTGAGGACATTGGTCTCCAGGTGAAAGGCAGTCCTTCCTCTTGGCACTTTTGCCCTCCATTCGTGCCTCTTCTAATTCTGCAGCAATATATAGAACACAGATATCTACTACTAAGATACACAAAGTATTATGTTATTGGGATGGTATCTGTGTCTCTGCAGCGTAGAAGGAAAGTCAGGGAGCACAGTAGATGTGCCTTCCTGGTCCATAGTTTTTCCAATTTTCGTGTGTCTTTTATGTTATTGTTGTTGAAACTTCAAATATGATGTCATATGACAGGTTTATAACTTATAAACACAATATAGAGGAACAACTTCTCTTTGTAATAGATAAATGTCAATATTCATGTAGATAAACATAATAGTCCAATCTGTCTGATGATGATTTAAAGAGTCACTTGTAGATGTTTCGAAGGACTATTTGTGGCATCCAAGGTTGTGTCAGAGAAGAGTTCTACAYGGTGACCAGGTTACAACAAGKTATCCYGAGTGTAGTTCCTTGTTTCGGTGTTGGTGATGAAAACACCTTCTTSAGGTAATGAATTCTTCTTAATATTTCAACAGGAGACAAGTYTCTGGTACTACAATTACATGTATGAAAAGAACAACAACATACATAAAATAGATAGATTGGACTATTATGTTTATCTACATGAATATGGACATTTATCCATGACAAAGAGAAGTTGTTCCTCTATATTGTGTTTATAAGTTATAAACCTGTCATATGACATCATATTTGAAGTTTCAACAACAATAACAGAATACTTTGTGTATCTTCTATTTCTRCAGCACTGCTGGTTACAGCTGACCTCCAGTTAGAGCACTCAAGGGCCAGGGCTTCCCAGTTCTCGTTGTCTATGCCACAGTTTTTAAGGTTGGCTTTAAGCCCATCTCTAAATCTCTTTTCCTGCCCACCAATGTTATGTTTCCCATTCTTGAGATGGGGGTATAGTAACTGCTTTGGGAGATGGTAATCGGGCATTCGGACAACGTGGCCAATCCAGCGGAATTGATGGTATAGGAGCATTGCTTCAGTGCTGATGGTCTTGGCTTCTTCCAGCATGCTGACATTTGTCCTCCTGTCTTCCCAAGAGATTTGCAGGATTTTTCAGAAGCAACGCTGATGGAATCGTTCCAGTAGTTGTGTGACATCTGTAGTCAGTCCACGTTTTGCAGACGTATAGCAGGATTGGGAGGACAATACGTAAACACTCCATATGCACACACATCAAAGAGTTATATGGCATCTGAAAGACTTCACAAATGTACTGTGCCATAATATTATCATGGCCTGGAATTTATTGCATCCATTACAACCAATGAATTGGATGGACTTCAGTCCAGGGAAGCTTGTGCTGTGATAGATTTATTGGTGTTTAGATGCAACAAGGCTTTGTGTTATTATTTATATTGCATTATTAGACTTTATCACTTGATACAATACATATTGTTGTTGCTGTCGATAACATTATTGCTGTGTGTCTTCCAGTCTTTTCTGGCTTGCAGCAACTCTAATGCAAATTTGTAATGGGTTCTCTAGCAACCCTTTGCTTTCCTCAGAGGCTGAGAGATTGTGACTTGCCAAAAGCCACTCAGAGGGTTTCCATGGCTGTGTAAAGATGCATGTCCTCGTTTCCAGTTGCAATCCAATGTCAAACCACTTCACCATGTTGGCTCTCCATGATACACAATTTCCGATTATCTATTAATTTTGTTAATTTGGTTTCCTTTTTTTTTTTATCAAGTAGGGCAGATGGAACTAAGGGTTGTGGACTGAAACACTTGGAAGGTCAACATCTCTCACTACCAAAGTTGGGGACTTAGGGTGCATCTATATTGCAGAATTAATGAAGTTTGACACCACTTGAACAGCAATGGCTGAATGCTATGGAATAATGGGGGCTGTAGGTTGGTGAGGAATCAGCAGTCTTTGGCAAAGAAGACTCAAGATCTAGTAAATCTATAGCTCCCATGACTCCACATCTTCGATCCATGGTGTTCAAGAGGTGACAAAATATATTTATTATACAGCATACATCCAGCCATAACATACCAGTGCGAAGTAGTGGTTGGACTGGTTGACTAGGAGGTTTCAAACCCTGGTTTAGATATGGTAACTCACTGGATGACCTTGGCCAAGTCACATCTCTTGCATCCTTAGGGGAAGGCAATGAGAAGCCACCTTTGACTCAAGTTTACTGTGAAATCCCCTTGATAGGTTCACCTTAGTGTCACTATGAGTTAGAAATGGCTTGATAACACACAACAATAACAGGTATAATGTGTTCAAACAGCTCAGCTGGGTACAACAAAGTGCATTTTGAAGTCCCCATGGTTTCAGTTCTGATTTGCAAGGCTGCAGGTGTATGTGGGGACGCTCTCCTGGGAATTATGGATCCAATCCACCTTCCCTTTCCAATAATCAGAGAAGAGCACCTGCATCTCATACAAAATTCCCCCCTTTGAATCTTGGTGCCTCCAAGGACAAAAACAGATTGGTAACAGGTGATGCAAAGCTCCTCTAGAGAAACACAGAACTTGGAATGCACCAAGACTTGTTTTGACACCACTTTAACTGCCATGGCTCAATGCTTTTCAATCGTGAAGGCTATACTTTATTGAGGCAACAGAACTCTTGAGCAGGAACTACAGTTCCCATGATTCCATACCATTAAGCCTTGGCAGTGAAAGTGGTATCAAATAGCTAGTGTAGATTCAACCTTGGACAGATGCTATCAACCCAACTAGACTAGTGGTCCTAACATACATCCCAAAGGCCACCCATGACTTTCATTGGCAATGAGTAATGTTTGAGAGGGGGGAGAATAGAAAATAGGTATCTGTGATAGTGACACACATGTATGTATGCACACATATGCAGGTCTGTGTGCAGGGGCCTGTGTACCTTCAATTTACTGGGAGTTGATTGTAGAAAGGCAATGGAGAATTTAGAGATTCCTAAAGAGTTTCTTAATACGATCCATGAATAATCATATAATGTTTTTAAAGGAACATACTGTTCATGGAGATAACTTGAAGCTTGCTGTGTTGGCTGTGGATTATGGGAAATGTAGTCCAATACATTGGGAGCCCCCGGTGGCACAGTGGGTTAAAGCGCTGAGCTGCTGAGATTGTTAACTGAAAGGTTGCAGGTTCGAATCTGGGGAGTGACGTGAGCTTTTGCTGTCAGCTCCAGCTTCTACCAACCTAGCAGTTCAAAGACATGCAGATGTGAGTAGATCAATAGGTAGCGCTCCGGCAGGAAGATAACGGCGTTCTCTGCAGTCATGCCGACCACATGACCTTGGAGGTGTCTATGGACAACGCCGGCTCTTCAGCTTAGAAATGGAGATGAGCACCACACCCCAGAGTCGGACACAACTAGACTTAATGTCAGGGGAAAACCTTTACCTAGTCCAATATCCACTGATCTAGGGAAGGCTGGTGTTGGGATTGACAGTTC